CTGCTGAACAGTTTCTTCTTTCAAATTCTCTCTTCCCTCTGGCTTCCAGGACTTGTTTTCTTGGCATCCTTTCCTCTCTGGTTGCTCCTTGTCCATCATTTCCCTAGTGCTTTTTCTCTCCTGATCACTTATATTTTGTTGTTCTCTAGGTTTTTATCTCGAAACTATTCCCTTTCCATCCCATACAGTCTCCCTGGGTGATCAAATTGCCCCTGACTTAAACTACCACCTATATGCTAATGGCTCTGAAATGTAGAGCCCAGATTTCTTTCCTTAGCCATTTCTTGTGATTACACACAGGATATTTTCACTTAAATGTCCTACAGGCATTTTAAACTCAACATGTTTAAAATCTTCCTCTCTGTATTCAATATGATTTAAAAACCACACACACTCCACAAAGCTGATATATTCCAAGAGAAAGGTATTCTGCACCTCAATTCTCAGTTAAAAATTACTCGAATTACTCTGATGTCAGGAAAAACATTTTGGCAGAGGCTAAGGATGGACAAAGCACTCAGGAGAATGATGTATATAGGAGCAGTTCTCAAGCGTGCTCTGTGGACCTGTGGGGGTGTCTGAAACCTTTTAGAGGTCAAAACTATTTTCATAATGATATCAAGACTTTATTTGCCTTTTTGGTTAAAACTGCCGGTGTTTTAGCATGATTCCAGGCAGCGGCGCCCAAATGTACTAGCAGTGTTTGTATTTTTCATTGCTTGGCACTTGCAGTTTAAAAAAAAAAAAAAGGCAGTTTCACTGAAGAATATCCTTGATGAAGGAATAAAAATTATTAACTATATTAAATCTCAAGCCTGGAGTTCACATTTTTTTTTAGGATTCTGTGTGAAGAAATGGGAAGTAAGCATAAAGAACTTCCAATGCATACCAGAGCATGAAGGTTGTCTCAAGGAAGAGGACTTAGGAGACTGTTCAAGTTGGAGGCAGACTCACCTGCTTTTTTCATGGAATACCATTCTACTCAAAAGAATAACTACAAACAATGATTATTTACATTTGGATATTTGGCAGACATTTTTTGAAAAATGAATTAAGTGAGCCTTTCACTTCTAGGAAAAAACTGACAGTATTTGCTGCCAATGATAAAAATTCAAGCCTTCAGAAAAAATTAGAATTTCAAAAAACTTTTATCCACTATTGTGAGCTTGACAGCTTCCCAAAACTTAAGAGACTTTTCTGATGAGGTTGGTGGTGATATATGAATATGAACGTGATTTTTTGATCCTATATAATGACACATGTCGACATCGGAAGATCTCCGTAACTCAGTAAACCAGTATTTTCCAATGAACTATGCTACAAAATCATGCATGGGTAAAAGAGCTATTCAAAGTGTGGGAGAGGCCAATGGATTTTAATGTAAGAGAGTACAAAAAGTCCATTGTCATGGTTTCAGATTTTACACTGCAACTAACCATTAAGAAACTACCATTTGTTGCATTTTTATGCGTATCAAAAAAGAGTATCCACTATTATCTAATAGACAAATATACTCCTCTCTTTTCTACCTATATATCTGCGTGAGGCCAGAATTCTTTACATACATTAACCAAAACAATATCTTGTAAAAAACTGCAGAAGCAGATAAGAGAATCCAGCTGTCTTCCATTAAGGCAGTCATTAAAGAAATTTGCAAAAATGTAAAATAATGTTCTCACTAAACTTTTTTTGGGAAAATAATTATTGTTAACACCCAATAAACCAAACCCACTGCCATGGAGTTGATTCCGACTCATAGCGACCCCATAGGGTTTCCAAGGCTGTAAATCTTTACGGAAGGAGACTGCCACATCTGTCTCCTACGGAGCTGCTGGTGGTTTCAAACCGATGACCTTTTGGTTAGCGGCTGAGCGCTTTAACCACTGTGCCATCAGGGCTCTTAGTGTTAATTAAAAAAAACACCGTTTGCCGTCGAGTCGATTCTGACTCAAAGCGACCCTATAGGACAGAGTAGTAACTGCCCCACAGGGTTTCCAAGGAGCGCCTGGTGGATTCGAACTGCTGACCTTTTGATTAGCAGCCATACCTCTTAACCACTATGCCACCAAGGTTTCCTTATTATTAATAGTAAATGTTATTTATGTTAATATATAATGGGCTTATTATTTTTATTTTAAAATGAGTTAATATATATTAATTTCTCACTGTTAATTTCTAATATAGTGTATATATATCTAAAGATATGATACATATAACAAGAGCTCTTTGGAGTCATCAACAATTTTGAAGAGTATAAAAAAGTTAGAGTTCCTTTTTTCACATAACAGGAATCTCTTTCTTTGAGCCATGAATAGGTTCCCAGGAGAGCTGGATATAAATTATCTTAATACTTATAGTTCCCTTTGAAAATGCACAGTTTGCCTTGACATAGTTACTATATAATAATGTCTTGAATTTTATGTATTCTAAATACATCCCAGCAGATTTAATTATCCTAGGGACTTAATGACAGAACCGATAAGACCACCTCTCTGTGAGGCATGTTATTAATCCTCATCAAGATTAAATTTCTCATTAAACTTATGAGCAGAGCATAGAGTTGATGAGTATCAGCAAAAGACATAAATGCGGGGCACATTTTACCTATATTTTTATCCTGTAGGTCAGCTTCACAGATTATATCATAGATATTGTATCATAGATAGTTTCTGCTTATTACCATGCTTAGGAAAATGATAATAACTACAATTTGTTGAGTGGTTACTGTGTGCCAAACCTTGTTCTAAGCACTTACATATTAACTCTAAGCACTTATATATTAACAATAATCTGACAATAATCCTATGAAGTACATACCTTTTTTTTTTTTTTAAAGTACTTACTATTATAACCATTTTACAGATTAGGAAATTGAGGCACAGGGAGGTCACTATCTGCCTGAATCAACAACTAATAACAAGTAATAATAATAAGTAGCAGAGCCAGAATTCACAACCTGGCAGGGCAGTTTATTTCCAGAACCTGAGCTCTTATCCTCAATATTAGGAAGGATATTATAGACTGGGTAGAAAGTAATAACTTTCCTTTCATTTAAGCCTTTGGCATAGCTGCTTCAAAGCATCTGGCTGGACTAAAGAGACAGGGAGTTGGGAAGATTAAGACTGACGTGCTTTCAAATAATCTAAGGACCTTTAAAAACTTCCTCATTTCTTAGTAGAGGAGTTTCTTTTTTATATGTCTTTAGAAGGTCTGCAATTAATTTAAAAATGATTTTAGCAATATATGAACCACCCAACATGGAACTTGTTTCACTGTGCCTGATGTGACAACAACTACCTGGCGGGGGTGGGGAAGAGAATCCTAGGTAGGCTGGTAATGTACCATGGCAAACAATAATTAGATCTTTGATATTTAAATCTTAACATAAACTTTTCATGATCAGTCTGTGATAAGTATGGGAGATGGTTCCTGTGATATGAGTTTGGTGAGGAAGGTCAAGAAGTTCAAAAACATTCAAGTAAACCCTGGGGGGCTCAGCTTTCCCTTACAAATCAAGGCCAACAGTTGTAGAACTCAGGTAATACTCCCTTATGTAAGAGTTAACAGATTAAGCTAAATAAAGTACTACACCTGGGGAGGATTTTCTGCCTCCAGAAATGGGCTGAGGATCGCTTTGGATTGTGAGCTCTAACCCTTGCCAATTTGTTTACCTTTATCACCTGTACTCATGTGACCCTGAAAACCACTACGGAGCAGTTCTACTCTGCATACATGGGGCTGCTATGACTTGGAATTGAGTCTAGTCCATGTTTTAAAAGAACGACCAGATATTCTTACTGATTCTGACTTTTTTAAAAAAAGCAGCTGTTTTCTTTCTTCCAAATGAAATCTGACTTCATTCCTCAATTTGGAAAACAGATAAAGTATACTCAAAATAGATCTAGAGTAAATGAAAGAAGATCACTGGTTGCCTACAGATTGAGGGGTGGTCGGTAGGGAGAGAAGGGAGGTAGAGAAAGAAGGGAGTGAGGGATTTCAAGGGAAAGTGAGGAAACTTTTGGGGTTGATGCATATATTCATTATCCTGATTGTAGTGACTGTTTCACAAGTATATACGTATGTCAAAGCTTATCAAATTATCTACTTGAAACATCTGTAGTTTACTGTACGCCAATACCCAACAAAGTTGTTCAAACAAAACAAAAAAACAAAATTTGCTCAGGTTCCTGCTCTCTCACTCTAGCAACTTACACTTGATACCCAGCACTCCAAGAAAAAATAGTTGGAAAACTTCTGATTTTTAAGGTTTCATTAAATACTAATGACACGTTTGACTTATATAATGAATTAGTAGAGTTCTGTGTCTGCAGTGATAATATGATACTGTATTGCTTGTTATACTTATTTTCTCTCATTATGTTTACAAAACCTCCTTTGAAAAGCACATTAAAGCAAAGTTAATGGGTGGTGAGAAAGTATACATTTTGGCAACATAATGGGAAGGAGCATAGAGATAAACATGAGAAGTGAGATAAATTTTCCACTTGTAATATATACCCAACCATGCCTAGCAGAAACATTAAACTTTGAATTGATTACAAAGGAATTTTAAATATCGATATTCTTACAGATTTTCAAGACTATTTGCTTGTCACAAAAAGTTCAGAGAAAGCACAAAAACATGCATAAAATTCTTGGGACATAAGATAGAAGTGATTCGTGATATTTAGGTCTAGGCTTAAAATTTACATTAGGTGTAATATAAACTAACAACTAAGAAAACTTGTTTTTGTCTACTTGTTTTGTTCCAAAATGTACCTTACATTAAGCTAGATAACATGAATTAGAAGTAGATGGCAAGGCATCAAAATACAAAAACAAACATGTTCTTCCTTAATAGTAAATTGTAACACATTTCAAGGTAACTTTCAAACAAATATAAATAAGCTCTATCATCAATTATCGAAAGCAACTTAATTTTATTCTCAAATTAGAATGCTATCATGCAGTAAAAAATGCTAAGCTGTTTATATACTCACGACTCCCAACATCCTCTACAAAAGTCATGTCCACAGGGCATATCCACTGGGTCTTCAAATACAGAAATACTGCACATACAAATGTCACACTGGAGATGAAGAGGAACAATTATGTACACAAAGTCATACTTTGGAAGAAAAACAATAAATTCATTTTGTTCTTTAGTTTAAAAGCAAAAGTAGACTACTAAAGTAATTATAAATTTTAAAAGTTAAGTGTTTCAAAGTTACGAGGGAAGTTAAAGTTAGTGTGCCTACCTTTGACTGAACCACATACACCACGTGACATATTATAGGATTTAAATGTTTTAATGCAAAAATCAAACTCTTAAATTCCAAATTTATGTATTAAATTTATCAGCAACTGTACATTTGGAAATGGAAGTATAAGAAACAAATCATTACAATCTATTCAGGTCAAGATCAAATTGTATGTTGCAAAATAACCACTTCAGTATCACATCCTTCACTCGATGCTTACCCCAGAAAATCCACAAAAATATAGTCACTTTGTGTTTTCAGTACAGCAGCTCAGGATATTCAGAGTAGCCATTTAAGGTTATCTACTCAGGGACCCCCCCACTACAAAACTATGTATCTTCTCAATGATAACTTATGAGAAGCAAACTTCATAATATTACAGATGCCAGTTGTAGAGGTAGGATTGTTTTCCAAAAAGGCCTAGATAAAATGAGCAGAGCTTTCATATTTACCACATATTCTGAGTGGTTAAATCATTCAAGAAATGTCAAAATTTCCTATAATAGAACACCAATGGTATGTCAATTAAAAATCCAGACAATGGCAGTATTATTTCTCAATAAAAAGGAAACATTTATTATGGAAATATATCTAGATGAGAAACTCTAAAAGCTTTACTGAAATATATACATTATTATTAATATGTCATAGATGTTTAAAAATTAGCTTTCAAGAAATTATAAAAAATGTTCTCCTATTTTTGGTTTAAAGTGCTTATCACAAACTCTTTCAACTTTTAATTATTTCGGTATGTTATGTTTAAAACTTTAACAGGAGCTTTTAAGTGAAAATATAGCTGATGGATTTTCCCAAACTTTTTTTATGTTTTCTGTTTTGAAATGAGCAAGGAAAACCTTTTGTTTTTTGATCTGTAGTTCAGAGATCACAAAAAATATTCAGTGATAATAAATACTTGCCAAAGCATGAAAATAACTGAACACTTTAAGAAGGGGATAGGATTTAATTACAAGATTATACCAGAGGCTTCATGAAATAAGATTATGTAAATTAAAAGTTAAAAGACAAAAAATAAAAACAAAATTATGGGAAGTACATCAATGCACACCAAACCGTACCAAACTTGTGTCCAAATCCCCAGGAGATAAACTGATCTCATCCGGAGAGGTGACAGAAGAACGTGTAGTCCTTGGAGTTCTTGGAGAAGGGAGCGTGTCCCATGCATTATACCCAGTTGGCGGTGGAGTTGGCATTTGAACACCTGATCGCTGGCAGCAGTTCTCTGGGTTGGACATCCAAGCTTCAAGTAACTTCTCCCTGTCCCAGTCTTTAAGAAAAATGGAATGAATATTTCTCAAAAAAAGAGAAAATTTGTTGATGTTTTAAAAGCTATGTAATAACAAAAGAAACATTGAGGATACATTAAAAAAAATAAAATCACTTGAGGAAGAAAAATTGTTTATATTGAAGCAGTAATAGCAAATGAATATCTAGGTATTTGTTTCTATTAATATTTTTAAACAGAATTTAAACTCTTACAGCCTACTGTAGTCTACAACAAGGTCAATATTTAACAATAAGGTCAACATCCCCACTAATTTCTACTAATAATCAAAAGAAGTGATTCACACATTACTTTCGGAATCTGTTAAATTTTTGTTTATGTAGGTTTAATTTCATCTTTTTACTTCTTCAAGAAAAATATATAATTTTTTTTTTTTTTAGGGTACGC